AGCTGTCAGGATCTGGCAGGAAGGGTCCGTGCTGGTCATCTCAGCCCAGCGGAAAGCACAGCATTGCCGCAAAACAAGTGCACAGGAGTCCCCCCTCCAGAGCAGGGGACTTCACCTGAGCATGGCACGGTCCTGAGACAGGTGCCCAGAGAGATCTCTGTCCTTGGGGAGCCTCAAGACTTAGGTAACCAAAGACACAGACACCCTGATCTAGTGTTGGGAATAGTCCTACCATGAGCAGGAGATCCCAGAGGTCCTTTCACCAGCCCTGACGGGGTTTACAGCACTGTGCCTGCTGACCATCACTTTTCTCCCAGCTGGACTTCAGGCCAGGGGTGCCCTGCCATGCAGCGGTACACGCACTTCTGCCCTAGCTTTGCAGAAGTCCTGGTTGGCTCCCTGCTCCTCAACCCAGCCACAGTGCCTGTTGCCTGCAGGAAGGATTACAGCACTTCGATCTCTTTTACTTATCTTGAGTCATCTCTCTTACTGACTAAGATGGACAGAATTGCATCTTGGATGCATCCATTGACTTTTGATAGAGCCCTGAGTGGTGGGAAGAAGGCAAACATGAGCCATGGTAGCAAGCAAATCAGTGTCCCATTCAACAGGCCAGATGTTCCTGGCAGCCCATAGTCCTGTGTCTCATACTTTTCACCATGCTGGGCTAACCAGCCCTCTTCAGAGGCCAGTGTTACTAGCCCTGGGCCATGGGCCATATCCTACCATTTCCAAAAAGCCTTTTGCTTCCTCTGCCCTTCTCCCCTGGGGGAACCAGCCTCAGAGCAACACCAGTACTGCCAGGCACATCTCAGCCCTGGCATCCTGAACAGAGAACAACAGGAGGAGGGATGGGACAAGCCTTCCCAGCATTGTCCAGGGCTGGCCAACACTCATCTATCTCCTCTCATCCTATGAGCCGTCAGGGAAGTGCATCAATGCCAGGAGACAGTGAGCAAGGGCTGGAGCGTGAAATCCTGGCTTTTAAACCCCATACCTATCTTTGCTCCTCACACCTGCTCTGTGCAAGCATCTGTCATAGGAATAACAAATTCCCTGCCACAGCTATTAAAACATTTTAGACATGGTATGGCAAGTAGCCGACGTCTCAGGAAATCCTTCCAGGTCACCTGAACCATCCCAGCTTCTTGTTTTGTTGATAGAAGCATGGGAGACTCCAGAATTCATGCAAACACCATTGCATTGCACAGGGAGTTTATCTGGTGGTCAGCAGCATGGGCTGAGCATTTTGGGACAGGCCAGCTCAACAGCTGCCAGATCAGTTTTGTGGTTATTCAGGCATCATTAAGCCACCAGTGACTGCAGAAGCACTGATGCTCTGAGCTGTCCTGACCTCCTGGTAGGTGCAGGTGGCAGACTGGGATGCTGGTGACTGGCAGCAGAGGTGTGTGCTGAACCTGCCACTACTGCTCATCTCCCACCACTGCCTTTGTCGCTGTCTCCTGTACAGTGAGAGGTAGGTGCTAGCCACTTGATTTTTTCCTCCTCTGGCAGCTACTGCCTGTCACCGCTCAACACCCCAGGGGACGCCCATCACGGAAGGCAGAAGAGGAGGATCTCTCACTGTTGTCTGCTGTCAGGCAGCTCCTGCGTGCCTGCAGGCACTGGCGATGCAGGGAGGAGGCTTTGCAGGGGTCACTTTTCCTCCATGAAGGGGTGCAAGGCTGAGATGACACTGACCTATCTTTCCTGGCACCACCAGGTGGGAGGGCAGCAAGGAGTTGCAGGAGCTGCCCCATGGCCCATCCTGGCTGCTCAGGGTAAAATCCATCCAGAGCAAGGCTGGTCCTGGGTCTGCAGCAGAGCCAGGAGGCCATGACAAGTGCCCTAAATGACGTGGCTGCTCACCAGAGTGGTCAGGTTCCCCCAGACCCAGGGCTGTCCTCTTTGGGGCTAGTTTTGATGCTGCCTGGGGCTCTGCAGTGCACCTACATCCTCTGGCTCCCCCAGCGTACATCCACCTTCCCCTCTGCTTGGGCCTGGCCCCATTTCATGTCATCCAGGGTGTTCTCCATTGAAGGGAAACCGCTACATGTATACTTGAAATTGCTCATGTACAGGGACCTGTAAAATAAGACATTTAGTTTTACCATTAGCCATCACTTACTAGCTTTTCTTTTTTCCTGTATTTTACTGTAATGTCTATAATTTCATTTATACTTTATCCTAACTACCCTCTCTAGTCATTACCCAGTTACTCACTTATGTTTTAAAACCTTTAAGTCCTTGCCTAGTAAAGATAAGACAGACCTGGGACAGTCTGAAAAACTCCCTGAGTACATCCCTAATAGCAGGAACCTAAAGAAAACAAGGGCCTAAGAAGATGCCAGTGTCAAGAGAAGTGCTGAGAGCTGGAACAAACAGGAGCTGCAGGATGGATGAAGTAACTCTCTGACCAGAGATGGACACTAGAAACCTAAAGCTCACTAAGGGACGGTGTGACAAAGGCTGTGGGGACCCCTGAGGAGGGGGGAAGACCCTCACTCTACTTTTACTACGCATGCTCAGACTATGTAAATGAATTCTAACACATTAGCATAACACTGCTGTTTCTAAGAGATCTGATGCATATGTGTGCTTTTTGTGTATATTAGTCAGAGAGTTTTGTCAGTAGCTGGGGCACTTGCGGTGGAGCGATCCCCAGCGCTGCCCAGCTCTGCGAGTAAAGAATCCTCTGAGCAGTTCTACTCAGTTCTGACCGTGAAGCTCTTTGTCTCACCGTGTCCTTGCCCCTTCTCCCTGCTGGAGCCTGCTGAGGGTGGTGCTGGTGGGACGCAGCAGGGAGAACCTGCCAGGCCTCCCTGACCCCTCACACCTCCCACAGTCTCTTGGTCCTCACTGAGAAAGCCCCACATCCCCCCTAGTCCCGGGGGGTGCCGAGCAGCCCCCAGCCTGGGGAAGGGTGTCTGTGGCCCCACTGCGACTGTTGGCAGGAGGCAGCTGCGTTGCCCCGGGTGACCTCTGGGTGCCCGTGGGCTCCGGTGCATCCGGACATCCCGGCTCTGGGTACCCGCGGCCGAGGCGCGGGAGGTGCGGCGGCTGCGGGGCGGCAGTGCCACCTCGCGGTGTGTCACCGCGGCTCTGCCGCAGCCCCGCTCCCGCAGCCACCCCGCGGGGAGGGCCAGGCTGGAGCGGGGGGTGCTGGCAGATCCGCTCCTCAGAAGCCTCCGGGATGGCTCATCCGCGGCTGCCCGCGGGCAGCCGCCCCCTGGAGCTGCCGACATTCCAGCCTCGGGTCCGGAGGAGGAGGAGGAGATGCTCAGAGGATGGGAGAGGAAGGCTTGGCTTGAACACAGCAACGCTGAAAGTCAAAGCTCAGGAGTCTCAAAGACCTGGAGGAGGTGCCACCTGGACCAACACCAGCTTCCAGGAGATGCTGAAAATCAGTAACGAGCCCCCTGTAACTCAGCATTTAAATAAGGTTAAGAGGACAATCAGGGACAAAGGACACAGGAGCACTAGGACACAGCCATCGATCAATCCAGGATGAAATGATGGAGTGGTCTCATTTTGGCTGTATGTTAAGAAAGGGCAATAGGGCAGAAATACAATTACTGTCCAGAAACACTGTTTTGTGGAAGGTAAGTCTTTTCAAACTCACCTGTCATCTTTTCTTGACACGATTACAGGTCTGGTTGATAGAGGAACTCTGCTGATAAAATAAAATTGCATTTCTTCTGGGCATCTGATTTATTATGGGGTGACATTTTGATTGAAAATGTGTATTATATTGCATTAAGAGGGCATATATTCAATGAATTAAAGACCAGCTCAGTGACAAATCTCCAAAGGTAATTATTAATGGAGATGCACTGGTGAGTGAAGTTTCATCTGGCTGGGGTCTCTGGGCTGATTTTTGGTTTCACACCAGTCATTCCCTTCTTCAGCTGTTAATGCAACACCTTCCTTGTGACCTCTAGAGGCAGCAAGCAGGGGGAACAGAGGGTTTTCCAGCCCCCCTTGGCTTTGGGACCACCCTGATCCCAAGACCTGCACACCGTCTTTTTTCCTTGAACATCCTTCCCTGAGCTCCAGCTGTTGCTGCGTTTGCTTTGGGGACCCAAATGCCACTGTCTCATGAAGGTCAGTTCAGCTGCCACAGGACTCCTGAAAGGAGACTGCAGTGGCTATGTATCAGAAAGCCCCTCCTAGCCACACACTGCGTCGCCCATGGGGTGGCCTGGCTTGTCCCCAGGGTCCCAAGGATGTTCACCTGCTGGGGTCACCGGGGCACGTCCCATCCCTCTGCTCCCCGCCGCGGTGGAGCTTGGATACTGGCAGCATTTTGGGGCTCTTTTGTGGCGGAGCTGAATGCACATCCCTGGGCACTGTCCCTGGGCTCGGTGGTATGAGGCTTTTACATTTTGCAGGTCTGGGTGAGGGTTTTGCTCCTGGGGTTGAACAGATCTGGTTAGTGCAAGGCACAGACACTCAGAGGGAACTGAGAGCAACCTAAGTGCCAGAGACCCCCACCTTCTCCTCCTCTATTACAGAGACACGGTTCCCAAGCCACTGAAGTGAGGTGAGTGGGAAGGAGATGTCTCATCAAGGATGCTGGAGGCCCTGCTGAGCCACACAGGCACCGACAACCCCTTTTCCAGAGCCCTGCTCCATCAGGATGCTGTGCCAAGGGGGCCATCTGGAGGGGTCAGCCCCAAGCAGCTGTGATGACAAGGCTGGGTACCAGTGACTGCCAAGCTCTGCCCATCACCCAGACCAGGAGCTACCCCTGGGCCTCACCAAGCATCCCTTGGACAGCCATGCCACCTACTGCTCATGTCACCTGTTCCCTCCTTCATGCCTTTGGGCACTTCCACCTTTCTCTTGCTTTGTGCCCTGTCACTACCAGTCCCTGCTGTGGGTCCTGCATTTTTGCTGACCAAGCTTTTCCCTGACTGGAAACAGCCAGGGTTGAGCACAGAAAGGGGAACAAGTTTCTCTCTTGTGTAGATAAAGTGAAACTTGGCACTTCTCTTTCCCAACCGGGCAAACCACTGTGCATGCAAGTAGATGCCCCCCACCCTGCTCCTCTTCCCCCCTGCTCCTAGGGGAGGGCTTCTAGCAAACAGAGCTGCTGCTCAGACTGGTCTGTCTTCACCCCCAGCAAGAAGGTAAGTCACCCCAAATAGCTGGGGACACATGCTTCCTCTGCCACCACCCTGTCCCCCTGCTTTCTTCACTTCCCCGCTCCACAGGGGTTTAAAGCAGGAAAAGGGAAAGCAAGTGCTGCAGGGAGGTGGGGGCTGCAGGAATCTGTCCTTGCTCCATGTGGTTGTGGATATCACTGGGCTCTGCAGGCTCGTCCCAGGCTGAGTACCTCGGGTTTTGGGATAGGTCTGTGAGCTCTGGACATCCATCCTCTCTCCCAGCTCTGTGTGTTGGAGATCCCTTTTGCCTGGCTTTAAACCCCTTTCCTGTTTATCCCTCCTCTGTCATGTCTCTGCATCCCTTTCTCATCTGTGCTCTCTCTCATACACAACCACTGCTCTGTACATCAGTGCTTGCTCCCCTACCACTGGAAGCAGCATCCTCTGCATGCATCTGATGTGTGAACACACATCACCAAAGGGTTTATGCTGTTCTCCACATCCTGGGCTTTCCAATTCCACAGCCCTGTCATGGGCACATGTCAGAGATTTTCAATAAAATCGATGAATTCATATCACACAAAGAAACAGCCTCAAAAAAATCCTTCCATGAAGTTATTTTCACCACTGCATGTGTTGTCCAGCTATCTGTATCGGACAACATATAGGTGGTGTGGTAGATCCATGTATGCATCTGATGAGAGCACTTGCATGTCTGTGTCCATGGTGCATCTGTGTGCTTGCTGTGTGCTTGTTTCCATCCCCAGTGCTCCCACCCTTGTACTTGCAGGGAGGCATGATGAAACCCAAGCTTTGGTTGGTGACCAGCACCCTGGCAGCAGTGTTGAGCATGGCCCTTCTGCAGGACGTGTGTCGGGCACCAGATGGCAAGGACGGCTTCCCAGGAATCCCTGGTCTCAATGGGAGGCCAGGGCAGAAGGGTGACATGGGAGAGCCAGGTAAGAGGGAGCCTGGGGATGTGTGGTGGGGGTGGCCGAGCATCCTCAAGCCTCTCAGTAGGAGGAGGGTCATGGGCTGTGGGAGCAGCTCAGGAGATGTGAGATATGCATGAACTGCTCCTCCTCACCACCTCTCCCCAGGGAAATCAACAGAGAGGACAGGCATCCGGGGACTCAAAGGGGATGCAGGTGAACCAGGGCTTCCTGGCATCCCAGGGAACCGGGGCTACCCCGGCCAGCCTGGACCCCCCGGGCCTGCAGGGCAGCCTGGGCTGAAGGGGAACAAGGGGAAAGTTGGCAACATCCTGGAGCAGCCACGTCCTGCCTTCTCCGCCTCACGGAAGTCCCCACCATCTACGGGCAGGACAGTGGTGTTTGACAACATCATCACCAACCAGGAGAACTCCTACAGTCCCGAGACTGGGGTGTTCACCTGCCGCGTCCCCGGGCTCTACTACTTTGCCTACCAGGTGATCTCCAACGGAGACCTCTGCCTGAGCATCACCAAGAACCAGGAGCACGTGGTCAGCTTCTGCGATTACAACAGCCGTGAAATCCTGCAGGTGAACTCGGGCAGCAGTGTGCTCAGCCTGGTTGTGGGCGACCAGGTCTCCATCAGCACTGACCGTGCCAGGGGCAGCATGATTTACAGCGGCTCTGAGGCAGACAGCGTCTTCAGCGGCTTCATGCTCTTCCCGCAGATGGGCTGATGGACCACAGTCCGGACCTGCTTAGCACCAGAGCCTTGCAGAGGGTGTGTCTGCATGTGTTTTCTCCCTGTGAGTGTGTGGTTTAGTACCACAGCAAAAGGGGATGGCCCCAGATTGAGCCACCAGATGGGTCCTGTGCTTCCACCGGTGTCACAAAGGGGCCAGGCTGTGGGTCACCACTGCAGCAGTGAGACTTCTGCTAGCAGTTACCTCCATGCTGAGCCTGCTCGCTCCATCCTGGAGGCAGAGGACTCCTGGCCCCAGCAGTCCTTTCTGCTCCTGGGTGCTCAGACCCCACACCGGAGGGGCCCACTTGTCACTGGAGCCATTCACTAGCTGTGGCTCTTTGCTCCTGAGTGGGCATCACTGCATGCCACTGCTTCTGCTACATTAACTACTGCAAATACCTTTCTGGTGCTGGGCCCCTACTGCCTCTCACATCCTCCCCATCAGTATAAATAAACCCCGTTTCCACGACAGCTGCTTGGGTTTTCTTTCTTATTTGTGCATCTTCCCCAAACTACCAATGTCCAGGGCCCCTGTCCAAGCTGCCCAGGGAGAAGCGCAACCCCAGCTTGCCCTAGCTAAGCACAGACCCCAACTGCAAAGGCAGAAGGACAGGAGGGAACTGAGTGTACAGGCAGAGCTGGCACTTACAGGGAGGAATGGGAAATCTCTGGGACTAGCCTGTGTGTGTCCTTTCTCTCCTGACTCCATGCTAGCTGTCCTCTACAAGGGTAAATACAGGCAGTAGATCAGATTACCCACTCGCATGGCCCTCTGTTAGTAAACAAACTCTCTCAGGAAAAGGAAAGGCAACTGTGGTCCTCCAGCCTTTCCACAAGGAAGGGCGGGGATATCAGGGTGACTGATGGGTTTGTGGGGTGATGGTGGTGGAGTTGTGAGACTATGCTCTTCTCTTTTTGGCTTGGGGTGAGACTAGTGGGCTGTATAGCAGGTTGAGCAGGTAACAGGCAGCAAAAATGTATCAGGGAAGCCACACAGATGTCATACCCTGGGACTGCTACTTGGAGGACCTGCTACACACATGCTGGGCAGTCAAATGTCTCCATTCCTGGAGCAATGAGGAGGAGGCCAGGTCAGGTGCAAAGGGCAACACCCTGAACCAGGGATGCTGGGGTCCCTGCAAATCTGGCACCCAGCAGAGCTGGATGAGCACAGGCCAAGGTGCAGAGAGGCCAGCCAGTCTGCAGGTCAGAAACCCTCAGGGAGAAACATCCTTCAGCCCCATTGCCTAGGGGTGCAGCATCTCCCTTCAGAGCCAGGCAATGACCTCGCACCAGCCCTCTGTTGCCTAGGCTCCGTGTAGCTGTCCTGAGGCATCTGCTCACTCCCCTTCTCCTCCTAAATAAGTTAAGGATGGCGATTTGTGGAGCACTAGACTCTGCGGTGGCTGGAGGGTTTGTGGTACATTGCTTGGCAGGGGCTCATCCCACCTCTGTCCTTTGAGCTGCTGCAGTGACATGAGTGCAGATCTCGCTGGACAGCCACAAAAGTGCTTGCTTGGAAGAAACAAGCAGGCAGGAGGATGTGAAACTCGGCTGGGGGCCAACTGGGTGTTCTGAGTCCCCAAGGGCCCTTTCTTAACTCTGCAACTTCCTCCAGGAGAGTGTCACGGAGAGTCACCCGTGCTGTGCTGTGCCAGCAGGCACTGCCCACAGCATCCAGAGGGCTCAGCAGAGCAGGATCCCGTACCCTGCTCCTCCCATCAGAGGTAAGAGGTGCTGCAGGGTCCATCTCTTTTGGGTGGGCTGCATGGGGGCAGGGGTCCAGCATCATGGCACAGTGCTGGGCTATGTGAGAGGAGAAGGAGACAGAGGCACTGCCAGGCTGCACACATGTCATGGCAGGGGGATGTACTCTTGCCCTTGCTGGGAGAAGACCCAGTCCCCTGGGCCAGGCATTGTCCTGGGAGATCCCCAGCTGACTGGAAGAGCCAGGAACGTCAGGTTGCTGCTGGAAAAGGGGGAGAGAGCTTCTGGGTCCGGGGATCTCCAGCCTCAGTTCTGCGTGGTGTAACAGTCTGCGGTGGCATATGCATCTGCGGGGCGTTCAGGACACTGGACTGGGAGAGCTTTGGGCTTGGCCACAGGATCTCATGGTTCCATCCAGACTGAAAGTCCAACCACCCTTGTGCCATCAGGGGCTGCCCTGGGGTTGATGATGAGCTCAGGGTCCATCTCCACATATTCACTTCCCCACCACCTACAAATTGGTATGGGGTGGGGGGTGTGGGGGGCACTGAGGGCCCAAACATTGCAGCCAGGTGCTCCTGGTGCAGTCAGTCTCATAGCACAGTACCTCCTTTGCCCCATAGCCTGGAAGCCATGCTCTTGTGGCTCCTCACCCTAAGCACTTTCTTTTCTTTTCCACGCTCCAGAGCACCAAAATGGGCCAGAGCTTCTGGGAGCAGCTCGGTCTGGGCCTCACCCTCCTACTCCTGAATTTAGAGTCTGCTGTGACTGGAGATGCCCCTCACAACTGCTATGGCGCTCCAGGCCTGCCTGGCATGCCAGGTGTGCCGGGCAAGGATGGCCGGGATGGTCTGAAAGGAGCCAAAGGCGAGCCAGGTGAGTGAGCAAGGAGGAGAACCACACAGGCTGTTGGGCTGGAGGCCACTGAGTCCTCTGTGGCCAGTCTGGCTTGGTTTTCAGGCTGTGGAGAGCATCCTCTGTGGACAGGGCAGGAGGAGAGGAGGCTGGAGAGGGGCAACCACCCTCTCCTGACCAAAGGAAGGGGCTGGAGGAGCATCTCCCCACATCCTCCCATTGACACTGTTTCCCTTTCACTCTCCACTGCCCCACAGGCATCCCGGCCACTCCTGCAACACAAGGGCCCAAGGGCATGAAAGGGGAACCAGGCATCCCTGGCTTGGCAGGCAAGACTGGACCCATTGGCCCCCCTGGTCCCCCTGGAAACACTGGGATAATGGGCATGGCTGGAGAGCCAGGTACACCAGGCAGCTACAAGCAGAAGCACCAGTCAGCATTTTCAGTGACGAGACAGACCAACGAGCATCCTCCGAAAAACGTCCCTGTGGTGTTCAACCACGTCATCACCAACACCAATCACGATTACAACACTACCACGGGCAAGTTCACTTGCAGGATCCCTGGCCTCTATTACTTTGTCTTCCACAACTCACTGACAGCCAACCTCTGTGCCATCCTGTACAAGGATGACACCAAAATGGCCAGTTTCTGTGACCACAAGATCAACACTGTGCAGGTGAGCTCTGGTGGGGTGCTCTTCCACCTGGGTACTGGGAACGAGGTGTGGCTGGAGGTGAATGACTACAACGGCATGGTGGGCATCAGCAACTCTGACAGCATCTTCTCGGGGTTCCTGCTCTTCCCGGACTAGAGGACCTCCAGAGCCCACCGTAGCACGCCATCCTCTTCACCCTGCCCTGAAAACACTGCTGCTCACCGCCAGGCTCTTGCTGATGCCTCAGGTTTCTCTGCTGGGTGGGAAGCCCCAATGAGGGGGTCAACCCCAGCTGCCAGACACAACCCACTGGCCTGGGAACCAAGAGCAGGCAGCCACTGAAGAGAGGGGACAGGCACATCTGGATGCATCTTCACCCAGAGTGACAAGTCCCCAGCATCCTGCTGGCACTGCCACATGCATTCACCCTACTAACCCCACATTACCTTCTGCTGCTGGAGCCAGACATCTCTCTGCATCTCTCCCCTTCCCACCTGTGTCACACAAGGGACAGCCAAGTGTCCTGGAACAGGCTTGCCAAAGCACCTTTGCCATAATCTGCCTGTGGAAAGTGTCAATAAAACTATCCCCAGTGTGCCTGTCCTAGTGTGTTTTTTCCTCCATGACTTGTCTTTCTGCAGGTGTAGCCCATGTGTGGCCAGATGGATGTGCTGTGCACGCGTGCATGTGTGTGTGTGCACAACATCTGGACATCTGTGTGGCATCAGAACATCTCTGAGCCCTCACTGGCCCAGTCACGCTTAATATCAGTGGGCATCACACACCACTCACAGCCCTGTCTGACTGCAGGAAGGGGACGGTTCCTGTGTCCATGCACAGAGCCCCCACCTAAGAGGGGACTAAGACTCCTCCAAGCAGGGACTTTGATATCCCCCTCCCCTCCAAGTAGATGCGATTCAGTTGCAGAGGGCCACAGGCCCCGCAGCAAGCCTTATAGCCATGCCTCCTGTGGCTGGGACATCTCCAGAGTCCCAGCCTCACCAGGGACAGGGCAGGGGGAGCACTGGCTTCCCAGAGCCAGACCAAACTGTCTCGTGGCTGTGGAAGTTACAAAGCCCACCAGAACCCAATGGAGATTCCTCCTGGTGTCACGAATTGTACAGCAGAAAAGGAGGTCACTTCTCCCAAACAGCCTGTGCTTTCCTTCCACAAAGCATCAGCAGAAAGCAGGACTGGAAATTCTTTTACCACAGGGTGAAATCACTTCCCATCTGCAACACCCTGTAGCATCCTCTGGGCCTGCCAGTACCTCACAGCTGAGCAGGGCACGTGCAGAGAAGCCTGAGGTAAGCTAGCGAAGTGCATGCGCATTTCTGCAGTCCTAAGAGGTTACCCCAAACTTGTCTGAAGCTCACGGCAGTGTTCCCCATAGCAAGCACGCCTGAGCAGGCCCCAGAGCCAGAGCTGTGTGCCTAGGGGGACCTGGGGTGGTGTCTGGGGAGAGCATGTTCTGCTGAGCTGATGGACAGCATTCGTGGAGGATATGAAAGTACCACTGAAGAAAGGGTGGGAGCTAAAGATAAAAAAGGGATGTGGCCCAGATCCTTTCACAATAACCCTTGTAACAAACTTCTGCTTTATCTCGTGGTCATTTCCAGGCAGGACGCTGGTGTATCCCGCTTCATCTCCCCATCCATGCAGTGAGAAGCTCAAGGTAAGAGCAAGATGTCGGCAAAGCTGAGCCCCAGCTCCCCACTGCAGACAGGAGCAAACAGGGAACCAGGCAGCACCAGGGTGACAGTCAGCCTCTGCATCACTGACATTTTTCTGTGGCTTGGGGTGGAAGAGAAAGGAGGCTGCTGGACTGGGAGTGGTGGAGGAACCTGGTGGGACCCCGACACCTCCTGCTTTGCCTGAGGGAAGGGGGAGAGGGAATAGGGAGATGGCAAAGGCCAGGAGGGGTAATCAGGGACTGAGCATCAGTCTGAAAGGTGCCCTGGGGGTGATCTCCCACCCTGAGATGCTCCTGTTGTCTGCCTGGACTTGGGTTGGGAGCCAGCAGATCCGTCCTTATACCTGAAACATCCAAATTGGAGCTGCTGTGGGCTAGAGGATCCAACTCACTGACCTAATTTCCTGCTGACACCAGAGTTTCAGTGCTGAGAAAGGTCCACCTGAGGCCAGGGAGTGTGGCTGGGGTGATGTGATGTCCAGATACAGCCCCCAGATGCCCAGTGCTTATCACACATGCACCTGTCCGGGAGCTGGGGGAAGGAGCTGAGCTGTGGGATGCAGGGAGGGCAGATGGAAGGTGGGACCCTGGGGACTGGAAGCCGAGATGATTGTCCCCAGATACAGCAGTGCTGCTGGGATGAAGCAGGCATGTGGCAGTGCACAATGGGAACCCACAGGGTTTAGGAGGGCAGGTTTGGGGGTTATGTTGCCACCTGCAAAGACTAAAGCTGTCCCTCAGATACGCTGGTAGAAAGCAAGAGCTATCCCCTTGCAGATGATGAAACTGCTCTGTCCTGGGGAAGGATTTTACCCTGCAGTTGTGGTCCTCAGATGGGATGGAGCATTTCTCCTCTGAGGGAGTAGTGAGGACTCAGAGCAGTAGGAACCTGCAGCCCATGCCCGTGGCAGCAGCACAGCCAGACTGGACATCAGACCCCTGGGACAGGCTAACCTGTGCCCAGATGTTCATGTGGCTGAAGCTCTGGGAACTCGCAAACTAGTAATTTAAGAGTGAGAAGAGACTGACAAGCCCTCCCCTGTCCAAAGGGGCTGGTCCCTCCAAGACTATCAGGAAAGCAGATTTGGCTCTGTAGCAGCATGTTTTCTCTCCCTGATGGTATTACCCAAATACGATTCTAGTCATTGTCGTCCAGAGCAGCACAGAGTGCCTTTCCCATCTCTCCCACTGCCCAAGACAGGCCTCTCAACATCCTTCTGTGCTCCAGCAGATGCAGACTGTGTGGGCAATGTTGATCTGCCTGGCTGGAGGGCAGCTTGCAAGTGCCACACTCTGCAAGACCTATGGCACCATCCCAGGCATCCCAGGGTCACCAGGACAGCCTGGCAGCAACGGCAAAGATGGAGAGAATGGCCTAAAGGGTGAACAAGGTAAGTAGGAAGCTGCAGGTGGGGAAAACATTGTCTTGTGAATGCCAAGGACACAGGAAGGACCAGGAAAAGGCAAGGCCAGACACATGGTCCTGGGAAAGCAATCCATTTTCCTCTAGTCCCTTTGGGGTGTTACCAGGTGGGGGTGATGCTTGGGGACAGGCTGGAGTTCCCTGAGGAACTTGGGGAGGAAGGTTGCACAAGAGCAAGGGGTGTCACATCTGCCAGGTGGGCAGGGGGTTCCATTGACCCACACTCCAGCACAGGTACCTGCTGTTTCATTCCCAGTGGCCCTCTGCAGACCCATGGGGGCTCAGCTGCAACCATGATGACTCTTCCTCCTGCTTTCTAGGTCCCCCTGGCCGGGTGGAACATGAAGGAGACAGGGGGGAGAAAGGAGACCCAGGACTGCCAGGGCACCCTGGGAAGGTCGGCCCCAGGGGGGCCCCAGGTTCAAGGGGATTACCAGGTCCCATGGGACCCCGTGGCCCTCAGGGGGACTCCGGTGACTACAAGACCACCCTCAAGTCCGCCTTCTCTGCTGCCAGGAGCATTAGCTTCTACCCACGCCGGGAGGTGCCCATCCGCTTCGACCGCATCATCACCAATGAGAAGGGCCACTACGAGAACCGGTATGGCCGCTTCACCTGCCAGGTCCCAGGCATCTACTACTTCACTTACCACGTCACCTCCAGGGGCAACCTGTGTCTCAATGTGAAAAAGGGCCGGGGTGGCAGCAGGGGTGACAAGGTGGTGACCTTCTGCGACTATGTGCACAGCAGCTACCAGGTCACCACGGGCGGCGTGGTCCTCAAGATGGCAGAGAACGAGTCTGTCTGGCTGGAGCCAACGGAGAAGAACTCCCTGGTGGGGATCGAAGGGTCCGACAGCATCTTCACTGGCTTTCTCATCTTCCCCGATGTTTAGCCTGCTGAACGGGTCCCTCTTGCAGCCCTTCTCCTGTTGCTGGTTGGTCTCTGCAGGCCTGAAGACTCCCCTGGAAATGACTTTTTGCTCCACATTTGGTTCCCTAAGCACGCTGCTGCCGGTCTTGCACATTAAATGACATATTGTGCTGCTGGTTCCTTCCTGCCTTGGATTTGCCTCCTTACCCCCGAATAATGCTCAGAGAGCCAGGGCATTGCCTTTTGCACCCCTGGGTGCAGCCTAGGCTCATTAGCATCTCCTTACTGCTGAGAAGAGCCAGACAATTCATGCAGTTCCTGCTGAGTATCTCTTTCCAGAGCCACCCAGAGAAAGTCTCAGCCCAGGGTTAGGAAAACACAGAGAGGAAGCCTGGTGTCTAGCAGGGGGTGGGACACACAACATAGTGGGAATATTGAGGCCACTGGGTCCTGGTGGTAGATGGGGAGATGCTGGATATGGTGCTGTTCTGGAGAGTCCTGAGGCTGGTAGGATCTGGGGACACCAACCTCTCAGACTTTTTCTTGGGGTGGTGGTGACAAGAATATCCACAGAAGTTTATCAAAGCTCGTGACAAGGTGAGCCAGGTTTATGTGGGGAAGAGTTTGATGCCACGATGGAAGAGGAGTGGGACACACGGCTGTCCCCTGGCGCAGCTGGGCAGGGCCCAGAGCAGCCCCATAACCCCAGCAGAGGACCAGCACGTGTAAGTCCTACAGCACAGCCAAGCCCTCCCAGGGATGTCTTTATTAAGAGCAGAGCTGATGGACCCAAAGACCTCCAGATGAGTAAGAGCTGAAGACCCCAAGGATGTACCTGTCCCTGGGGCAGGTGACAATGTACCTGGGTGGGGGAGTGGCTGTGGCAGCTGTGCGGTGTGAAGCCCATGGGGGTGTACACGGGGCATTCAGGACACAGAAGAGGAGAGTTTTTGTGGGGATCTGGGATTTGAAAGGGGCTAGATGAAGAGGATGATGATAATTGGGGCGGCGGGGTCGTGGGGTATGCACTGGCTTTTTTGAAGCATCGCCACTAAGCTCTCGGAGTCTGCTTGCAGGTCCAGGGCTCCAGAGCTCCGGGCTGCACAGGTCTCCCTGCCCCGGTGCAGGACAGTGACTGGCACTGGTGCGGCCAGCTCCAAGGCTCCAGATTCTGTCCGAGATGATGTGCCGGCAGGTGGCACTGGAGACCGGATCAGCCCTCACCCAACCACCCATTGTCCCACGGCTGGGAAGGCAAAATTTGCAGGGACCGGGCAGAATTATGAGGTTCAGCTCTGCCTTGCCTGCAAGGTCTGGGAGGAGGCACCGGGCAGGATTAGTGCCGCCTCCTGCGGCCCTGGGTTAATGTCTCGTCCTCGTCACCTTGCTGCTTCGTCCTTCCCACACAGCAAAATCTGTGGCTTCTGTCTCCAGGGACGCAGTCACACCATGTCCCCAGACCTCTATCTCCTATCAGAAAGTCGGGACAGAGATGTTCGATGTCGCACCCCTGTGGAGGAGCGCTGGGCTGCTCTTAAAACGCAGTTGAAATGCTCATGCTGTTCTGCAGGTGGAGGCGCAGCATCCCAAATAAAATCGGATCAGCAGGGCAGGTAGAGGAAAAGAGTAGGTATTTGACCCCCAGAACAGAGGCTGGGCAGCATACACCAGTTAAGTTTCCTGCAGGTTGCAGGAGTCGCCAAAGCAAGGAGCAGTCAGCTGGAGGACAGGGCTGGCACTCAAAGAGCCTTGACAGGCTGGAGATATAAGCTGGCAGGAACCTACTGACGTTTAATTGAGACAAATGAAAAGTTCTTCCTCTGGCATGGGATAACCCCACAAAACAGGACCAGCCGGGGGCAGAAGGAAGCTTTGCAGGATGGGACCTGGGATGCTGGTGGTCAGCAAAGTAAAGCTTTCTGCCTTTCCGAGTAATTGCTGTAATAATTTTGACTTTTGAAAAGATCTTTGTTCAGGACCCCTCTGGAGTGGAGCTGGTTTTATTTTTAAAACTAATGTCTGACCTAACACCAGCACAAGCCAAACAGTTTCTAGGGTCTTGGCTGTACCTGGAAAGAGTTAGAGGGCAGTGCAGGCACCAGCTGTCCCTAAAGCGTAGCTCACTGTGCTTACAGGGCCGGAACACGGAGGTGCCCAGGACACTGCTTCCTCCCGGGGGCTTCAGCCAGCACCCAGCAATGCCACCTCAGGCGTTAGCTCCATGGGACAGCAGCTGTCTGCTCCCCTGAAGCTGCCACTGCGTGGGCCATGGAGCAACACACCCCTCAGGTGTCCAAAATGGTTGAGAAAAGAGAGCAGAGGGTCATGAGCAGCTGGGGTGGGTGGTGGTCCATCCAACATCACTCCTCAGTTCCTCCAGGGCCTCTGAGCATGGGCAGTGTTCATAACCCTGTAGGAAGCCCTAAAGCCCCAGGCCTCCACCCCAGGGCCTCTGGAGAGAATCCCCTCCTCTCCAGCTGTTACAGCACTTGCTGAGGCCAGAGCCAGACTGGAGATGCCCCCTCGAATGGGATCATTCACAGGAGGAGCCTGTGCAAGATCCTTAGTGGCGCTCAGGGCCACAGCAAAAAAAATTCAAACTTCTCTAGGTAGCTCAGTGCTGCGCTGCCAGCCACGCGGTGCTGCTTGATGTTACACAGGAAAGGCAGAACTGCTCCAGCCCTGCTCTCAAACCTCCCCTGCCCTGCCCTGTGGTGTTCAATTAATTATTCCATGCAAAACAAAGCGACCTTAGAACAACACAACCATTAACAGAAGAGTTGGAGAGAAACCTGTTGCAGGGTCAGGTGCAGCCTGGTGGTGAGGATGTCGGACAGGGCACGCTACTGTCCCTCGGGGAAAGGACCAATTTGCATTTTTAATTAATTCTTTAAATTTTACATATGAGCACCAGCCCCCCACCAAACTTTAACCTTGGCTACATCTGCACCCACTGAATAGATTTGCAGGTTTTGTTTTCACCTGGGACCTGTCGGCTGCAGCAGAGCCCTGTGCACCTTCCCTGCCTGTGCTGCCTTGGTGCTCGCTCACAGCACTCTGCGCGTTTACAACATTCACCCGTGCACACTCACGCTGCTCTGGGCACAGACTTGCTGCTCTGTCCGTGCTCACACGGACACCACTCCTGCACATACTCGCTGCTCCGAGTGCACTCCCACTGCACGCTCCCCCTGCTCTCTGGATGCTCTCTGCAGATCTGCCCTGACACGCATGCACTGCTCTCTCCCTTTCGATTTTTTTTTTTTCATTTTAATGGCATCACAGCTGAAACGAGCAGCAATACTTCTTCATGGTTAAGCCAGAGCTAAGCCATACAGCTTCACCAGGTGGTGCTGTGACCCTCGTCTGTGGTGTCAGGCCTCCACCAAGGTCTGGGATGTGCCCAGACAGAAAACCACCAGATGCTCAGCAGATGCTCTGGTAGAAGCTGAGGCGGGTGGTGTTTCGAGGTGACTTCAGAGCAGGAGTTTTAGGTTTGTAAGTGTTCTGCCAAGCTGCAGCTAAGCAGCTGTGGGGCTCTTTGATCTCTCAGCACTGGAGGTCACATGGGCTTGGTGAGCTGAGGGGGACAGAGCTAACCTGGAGCCCAGCCGTGTCACCCAGTCACCCTGCCCCATCAAAGACCAGATGAAGGTGTCCAGTGATATGAAAAAGCAGCAGGTGGGAAGGTCACTTTCTGGGATCCACCTGCAACCAGGCACTGGTTTGGTCCAAAGCTCAACTGGAGTAAATCCACTGATGTGCAAAGACACTGGTAGAGAGCTGTCAGGATTTTAAAATAAAATCTTCCTATTTCAAGGCACACAAGCAACAGCGATCAGCAAGAATAACCCATGGAGGTTTCCCTTGCATCATCTAGCTGGGGTTTTGGTGTTTTTCTCTGTGCTGAAGCTCCAGTCCAGGCCTAAGCAGGACTCTGGCAGGATCTGATGTGGCGGAGCACCCTGGGTGCCTATCAGTGTTAACGGAAAGTGAAGCTGCACTGGAGAGATCAAGGTGCAGTCAAGCTCTTTGTCAGCAAGATTGAGCCAGGGAAGTTGGTCCCATGGTCTGATCACTAGCAAACACTGTGGCACTTGTGAAGGTGTTGATCCGTTTGTGCTGAGCATGTTCAGTTCCCAGTACCTGCTACCCAAGGAAGAACCCTTCCTAAACCATTCCTGGTTCGCCTCGGTCCTGGCTGGCAACCACACAGCCACAGCCAGGCTGCCTGGCACGGCCAGAGGCTACAGAGGGCAGCCTCCTGTACAAACCCTGCCTAAGAGCCCTTCTCCCATGGAGATCATGACATTGCTGCTAGACACAGACAGGGACGCTTTTCCCTCGCCAGCAGCTCCCTCCTGAGCAGCCCACGAGCTTTTCCTTCCCTTCAGCCTTCCAGCGCCATGGTGCAGTTGCTGCTGCCAAGAGAGTGGCTGCTCCAACCTTTTCCTCCGTCCTTGGATAGTGCTGTGTAGTGAGACGTTGCACTTTTTGGTGTTCTTCCTTCCCTCCCCTTCCCCAAACCGTAATAACAAGCAGGAGGCATATGGGAAGCCCTGCATGGGTCCAGCGCTGTGCCGCAGTGCTGGTGTGCTCTGGGCAGAGGCGTTCCTGGGGCAGCGCACCGGGCTGTGCTGGCTGAGAGTTTCAGGCACCAATGAGACCCAGCAGGACCAACACAGATTAGGTGGGGACTGAGGCCACACACGTTTCCCTCACTCTCAGCAGGGCAGGAGCTCCCCAGATGGATCCCCTGGGTGAGCTGGCTCTAGTGGAGAATGGGACTGACTGCAACCTCTGTGTGACATGTGGGGTTTGATCCAGCAGGAATTAGTCTGAGACAAGGAAGGGAGTTCAGAGAACACCTCCCATCCCAAAGCTAACCCCAGGGCTTTTGATAGGTTTGTTTCCTCCAATACTCACTCAGGCTTGGATTTGAATTTGAATGGGAAGGAGCAATCACTCCTTTTGCCTGGAGCAAATCAGACTGGCTTGTCTCCCACTTTTTTCTGCACAGGGAATTCCTGCTTTTCCTAGCCCCTCTGCAAGGACTGGGATCTGCAGAGACTCTGCTCTGGGCTGGCCACCAAGGGGTTAAGTCACAGCCCCCTTTTTTTTTTTTTTTTTTTCCTGCTCTGCCTCCTTATGAGGAACAGCCTTTGCGGGG